GGATCAGCAAAATCTGCGAGATTGCCAGATCCAACTTACCAACTGCGCCCAGACACCGACTAACGGAGGGGGTCCCCCGATGATCCGTGTTCTGCTGAACTTTCCTCACCTTGTGTACCCGTCGGTAGGGCGGGATCTTGCTCTCTCGGTAACTTCCGAAGAGTTCAAGTGGTGAAGCTTGAGTGTCTTGGCGAGACGTGGGGATGGGGTGGAGCAGCAGTGGAAAATCTTCACTCTGCGTCCGTGGATGGTTCCGTATCCTAAGCGAATATTCGAGCTTATGGATCCGGGGCCTAGATCGTGGATCTGGCCGTAGGGCTGCCTTGCGGGTGTGTCCCTTGCCTTTGCGTTCCTTTGCGTTGTACTTGCCGCCTCCTGTGACGGGATCTTGAAAGTTGAGAGCCTCTAGGGTGTAACCGACCAAGTAGTAAATTCGGTTAACCTGTCGGATCTGCACGAGTAAAGGAAAAGCTCACTAGGTTGTAGGATCTGGCCAATGTATTATCCAGTTATCACTACCAACACTAGATTCGCAATTCCCAACCTTCTCCGAGCTCGTACGGCCAAATGTAGTTCCGGTTCTTGAGGGCAGGAAGGCACTTGCGTGATACTGTGCAAATTGAGTTCTGTATTGATATTTAAGCCTATACCTGCCTGGATTTCTACTCTCTATGTCTTTCATCTGCTAAATCCCTTACCAGGCTCGGCTGCATGTCCCTTCTTCCCTTGACCCATCATCCCAGCTGTGTTATCTTCAGATCCACCGGATATATGACGTAATCATCATGGTCACCCTATTATGGGTACACTCATCCGGATCCAGGTCGCTTGGATCCACCTCACTGTAATGGTACACTCGCCGTGGATCCGAGCTCTCCAATCATCCAACATCATCTCGCAACCATCTGTGATCTCCGTTGTCCCACGAAAGTTCGAGATCCACTGTATCCCTCATCCCTATACCCTGGATCCAGGTCCCTCCAGGCGGGATCCTCCCTCCTTGGATACGAACTCGGAAGTATGGGATCCGGGGTACCTCGCGGTGGATCTTGACTCTTCATTAGCCGTGGCTACTAGATCCACCGTCAGAGGGCACCGACCATCCTTCCTTCATAGGATCCACACTCGATCCACTCTTGTATAGTATATCCCATATCCATCTTAGTGAATCCAGGTAAGGGTGGATCCGAGGTAAGTCTTGGTGGATCTTGCATTCTCGTACATCGCTCATATCAGATCCATCGTCATTCCATACGGGGTGCTGCTCGCCATGGCTAATCCACCACAGGCAACTTGCACCCGTGCCAAACAACCCAAATCCTCTATAATCACTTGAAATTGTCACTGATTCGGGATAGTGACCCCGCGTCAGGACCATTCTCTTATTTCTGAGAAAGCACTTCACCACAGCTTCGACAACAATCGCAACACTGCGAGTGACAGGAAGATGAGAGACAGGCCTGAGCTGCTGGAGGCTTGCAACTTGCTCACATCTCGTCGACTCACTCACTCAATCCTTCACTCACTCACTCATCTCTTACTTACTCACTCACCGAGTGGCTCAGTGGTACATCAGCGGGTTCACGCACCGACGGTGCGAGTGCTACACGCTACGTATAATAGTATTGTGTATACCCCCATGCAACTACTTTGAGCTCTCGCTCCCTGTTGTCCATTTTATCGCTTAAAGAAAACAGCCCATATATATATCTAGTCAGCCGAAATGACACATGTTTTATTTTATATAGGTTTCTGAATTGGACCGATGACGGCCATAAATTGTGACCAGCTTGCCAAATCTCGTTTTGGTACACCGACGGACAGAATGCAACTGCCACTTTCCCACTGGTACAAAAGCGGTCAGATGACTACAGCACTTTTTTTTACAGTAACGAATTACCAAGAGTTTTTGGCAAAGTTAGGGAGGCAGTTGTATTTAGCACTAAAAGTTGCTTTTAAGTGCTTTGTTAAAGGCACTCGTGACGGTGGCTGACTCAATGGATTCCCAAGCTGTTATGGCACGCTTTATCGTAGCTAGGCGTTTTTCCTTAGCAGTCTTTGCTGTAGCATTCTCGAACAACCACAGAGCCTTGAGCTTTGCTTTCAAAGGCCCCATGATACCAACATCTAAGGGCTGGCAAACCGAGGTTGCATTCTTAGGTAGTGGCTGGAGCACAGACATAAGCTCGTCTGACACGATTGCCTTGGACTCACCCGAGACATGGCACTCTAAGTTATCTACGAGTAGTAGAGAAGAGCGTGTAACGTGCTGCTGCAGTAGTGAGCGTAGGTAAAATTCCATACGCGGGCATCCATCCACGCTTTAGTCTGAACAGTATACATATGTCCTAAAAACCATTACCGTAACCCCCGTCAGTTAGTAAATAGCAAACATAAATAATAAGATAGAATAAATATGTACCGTCGGGGTATGTAGGCAGCTCTTCTCTCTCGATAATGCCGTTTTGCTCTCCACGCAAAATGAAGAGCAGTGGAAGCTTCACGCCATCCGCGCGGATAGTGCATACAGCCGTCAATCGAGCGGAATGCTTCTGTTGAGCTGTAATAGCTGAGGACTGACCTCTCTCGGATAGTATCTTGCCCGGCGGTGCGTCGAAGTAAATCCCAGTTTCGTCACAGTTAAAAACTTCGCTTGCAGCATAGCTATTGTACTTAGACTTAAAAAGTTTAGCGAAACTGTCCTGTACTTCTACCAAGTCTTCCAGTTTTTCCTATAAATAAAATATCAAAATGATCAAATTAGATCAGTTCCATACAGTTTTTAAGTCAAAGCACTACCTTTAAACCGTGCGGTGTGCGCTGCACGAAGCCATGCCGATAGGCAAAACGTCGTAGCAACCTTTGTAGAGACTGATACGCAGTATATTCGTCCTTCTTGCCCTTCAAGTAGTCCTCCAGCCACTCTGATTGCTCCTCTCGAATGTACGCGGCCATTAGAGATGCAGTAAGCGGCAGGGATTCGCGTCGTGTCTCCTTCATAAAGGTGACGAGCATAGCGCTAAACGGTATTATCTCGCGGCGACCTGGTGCCCGCGACAGGGTCTTCTCGCTGCCTTTAAACGCAAAGATATCTTCTTCGCTCTTCCTCCATGACGTTAAAGTCCATCGAGGGATTTTTTGAGACGTGGCAGCCTCGCGCTGACTTAAACCCTGTGTTGCTATAAGAGCATGTCGTTTCTTCTTCATTGTATAATGCATCCGACGCTGTTTAGGCTCCGCGTATACCTCGTCAAGTAGGTCTGCAATCGCCACGATTTCTGGTGGTGACGGAGGCTCAGGTGGGGGCTCCGACCGGTGTGGACTCGAACTCCGAGGTGGTTTCAGCTACACGTACCGCCTCCATTTTACCAAGTGACTGGTGCAGAATAACCACTGCAGTTCAGCTGTACAATGTGGCGTTTTAACTGTTTTGATTGGCTTATTTGGTAGATTTGCAAGTGGCAGCTATGACCTGCGCCCGTTTTACGTTGAATTTTAATGGCAGTTGCATTCTGTCCGTCGGTGTATGTGAGCCTCCCTGTAAAGTGCAAAAACGCGAGCGTTAGCACATCCTTGCTTTTTTTAAGCATGGTTTGCAACTTGTGTGAAAACCGCACCATCAAATGATAAGAATTGACTGCGTTATGGGCACGTATCCGACGAGATCTGTGACGGGGTCACACAGCACCTTGCGCTAGAGGAAGTTATCTTCCGAGAGTATACAAACTCTCAGTGAACGGCAGTTCACTGGTCCCCTCTTTAATTAAAGAGAGCGAAGTGACCTAAATAAGGTAGATTGTAAACTGAGTATATTTATAGGTAGGTTAAGTTTGAGGTTAATACAAACTATCAGTTACCTATAGTAATGCAATGTCATTTAACCAATGGTTGGTTTTGAATGACCTTGGTACCTTGTACCAAATATCCCGGAGTATGACATGTCATACTCCTGAAGTGTGAAGTGTCACACTTCATGTAACCAGGGTACACTTAGTGCTACGTACCCCGTTACATCCTCCCCCACTTAGGTTCGG